ACACGGCGGTGGTACACTCTCCTCACCACTCGAGTGCTGTTCTGCCGATCCTGCACTCAAATCGGAGTGGTCGACATGTCCGACAGTTGGGTCGACGGGCCGACAGCTACAACATCATAGTCCGCGTCGTTATCAAAATCAGAATCAACCCCTTCAACTAAGGCTTCGTCCAGTTCGTCCTCGTTATCAGAGGACATAGGATTGTCGTTCGGGTCACTCCAGCTATCCTCAAACAAGCCCTTCATCTGCATCAAGCGACCTGCGTGCTGCCATGTCGGAAGTTACGGCGCAAGCAAACTTCGACTTTGATTTCCTGAAAATTTTCAAATGGCAACTAGCCCCAGCGACCCGTGCATCATCCTCAACATAGCAAAGGCTGTGTGCACGTGAATTTTCATGTGGATCGGGTGATCCGCGTAGCTTCCAGGTCGCTTTGAACATGCGTGGGTTGAACCGTACACAGGTGTACGGTTCAAGTATGGGCGAAAGGACAAAGGGTTAAAGGGGAAGTGCATCGATTTTTCGAGTAGGGTCCAGAAGAAAGACAATTTGATATCGGTTCGAATGGCATATTTCTCGCTTCCATACGATAAGCCAAACTTGCCAAATCGCCAATTGTATACAGTTGAACATCGATTATCCGACCACCTCTGGGCAGACAACTGTCAGGTGGTGTTCAGATAAGGCAAATGTTCCGGATAAGAAAGAACTGTCACTCACACACTTTCAGTGGTTATTACTAGCCGCACGACCTTTTTACTTTTTACTTTTCAAAATTTTCGTATTTTTTGAATGGCTCACTACATGCACAGTGCGTACTCTACGGCACGTGCGCCCAAAAAAACTGTTACGGATAATCGAATGGTCGGATAGTCGATGTGCGGATAATCGATGTTCAACTGTACTCACGTTGCCATAGCGACCAGCGCAGTGATGACGTACGAAAGGCTTAGCTCCACCACAGAGAAGGTCGATCACTGCAGAATTTGGTCATTTTCAATTGGTTTATTGTATTCACGAAGTGAAAGAAGGGCTGTGTTCAATGCTGTTAGTGCAGTGAACTGTTTGTTAGTAGTCCTCTCGGTTGTGTCCTGGGACGTGACACTGACAGGAGAAAGCTGGAGTTCGGAGACACTAGCAAACAAGCGAAAATAGTGACGAACAAAATGCTGAAATCTTGGTTGGGACAAATCAGACGTTCAGCATTTCCCCCAACCAAGGAACATGCCGTTTGCTCTTTCCACTTCCTGAAGATGAATGTGATGCTTCCTGGCGACTCTCCTATCTCTTGTTACATCTTCTGAAGCCAGGTGAGACGACGGGTGGTGGAGATTGACGAATGAACTTAAGTCGTAGGTTTGAAAGTTTGCTGAAAATGTCTCAGGAGAGATGGCGAATTCCAAGCGACTTGTCCTGGAGGAAACCATTTCCTAGGCACAGTCAGCCTAGGGAAATGCATGAGAAGGGCGATAAATAGTTCACGGCACTAAAAGCATTGAACACAGCACTTCTTTCACATCGTGAATACAATAAGACAATTGAAAATGGCCAATGTGTTAACGTCCCAACGCAGTGACAGATCAGACCCGTCCTAGTACCGACCCATATCCCTTAGTAGTGTCATTGCCAAAGCCCTGGAGAAAGTCGTTCCTAGACAGCTCCAGCAGCAATTTGACGACAAGTGCCCATACCATCAAGACCAGTATGGCTTCCGCCGCCATCACTCTACTGCCCAACTCGTCACCAAGGCTGTAAGCTAGTGGACTGCGAGCCGGGATACTGGAGACACTACCATGATTGTGTTTGAGACCAAAGTAAGGCATTCGATCGGGTGAACCACCAGTGCCTCCTCATTTCACTGCAAGCCAAGGGTATTGGAGGGACAGCACTAGCATGGTTCGCCTCATACCTGTGTGATCGTCAGCAGAAAGTCACCCTGCCACCTGCTACACCCAGAGTCCTCCCAGTTTCGCGTGGAGTCCCGCAAGGTACTGTTCTGGGTCCTGTACTCTTTAATGTCTATATAAGCCACCTCCCTACCATAGCAGATTCCTTCACCTGTTCCCTTCCCATGTTCGCAGATGATATGACCCTCTACCGAAGTGCCCCCTCACTCAAACTGTGTATTGCCTCCGTCATTCCCTGCCTGAATGTACTATGTGACGAGCTACAAAAGCTCTACATGATGATTAATGTTAAAAAGTCAGGTGTTATGATCATTTCCCCCGGCTGAAACCCCACGACGCACCCAAGTGTCATTAGCCTTCAAGGTGAGCCACTTAATTTTGTGACCGAAACTCGTCTCCTTGGTATCCAAGTTGACAACTGCCTGTCATGGACCAAGCATATCGATGTAATAGTTAGAAAAGTATCCCAGAAGGTGTGTGTCTTACGTCGCACCTTCCGGCAACTGAGCAAACTTGCATGCCGCCAGTACATCCTGTCTGTTGTTCTTCCTGACATTCTGTACTGCATCTGTTCCTTCGTCACACTCATTACTGCGAAGGATCACAATCGTCTAGTAAGCGTGTACAATAGAGCTATCCGAGCGGCTTCTGGGGCTGCGAGCCGGGACAGTATTTCTGATCTTCTGAAAAACCTTGATGTTAAGCCCCTGGACTACTATTTTCTGGTGTCAACTGGGAAGTTCATTTTATTATTCATATTCTTCACCCTTTGCCTGTATTTGCATCGTTATTCCCAGCCCCGCAATCTACCCGGAGCACGCGTAGTCGCGATACACATGGCATCCCTTATTTAAAATGCAGAACAACACTCGGTCAAAAATCCTTTGTGCTTCGTGCTGCTCTGTTTTTTAATGCTCTACCTAATGACTTGAAATCCTCTTTGTTTACCTCTCAGTTCGATCGTGGTTTTTTAAGCGCTTATTGGATGATCCAGTTTGGTTTGAACGATATCGTGCAATTTTGTTTGACAACGTTGGCAACGTTTAGTCTCTCACCAGCTACATGTATATATTGCCCAGGTTCATTCAGCATACGTTTTTCTTCTTTTCTCTTTATGTTCACCACTCATCCCCCCTTTTTTTTCTAAACATTTACACTGATGTATATATATTGTTTATTTATTTATTTATTTTTTTGGTCCCATCGGCCTCTTCATATTTGTGCAGCTGCACTGTTGAGCTTCCGATGCAAAACAAATAATAATAATAATTATACTTGAGGTCGGAGGCGGACCAACACGTACCTTCGTTATTAAAATAATACTTGAAGTAATAATTTGTGCAGTGATCGACCTTCTCTGTGGAAAAGCTAAGCCTTTCATACGTCATCACTGCGCTGGTCGCTATGGCAACGTGAGCATACAATTGGCGATTTGGCAAGTTTGGCTTATCGTATGGAAGCGAGAGATATGCCATTCGAACCGATATCAAATTGTCTTTCTTCTGGACCCTACTCAAAAAATCGATGCACTTCCCCTTTAAACCCTAGACTGTCAAAATTAAGCAAACAGAACGTAAGTTATGGTGGAAATGGTGGAGGGAACTGCAATTGCGCATTTTCACGCGTTCAATGGCACCTCAAAGGGTTAATGATACGGAAAATTATTGACGTTTCGGGCCAGTCACCCATCATCAGAACAATGTACAAGGAGCGAACCTGGGGGGAGGTATACTACAAAAATAATATCAAAATGTATGGTTGCCTTTGCAGAATGGCTCTGACCTACATGCTAGGCATGGAACCACAGGGTTTGATGTCATCGCTGACACACAAAGTCGCACACACAACACATTCGTGTGCCCAGGTACTAAATTAGTCGACATCGTCATCTTCTTCCTGCTGATCTCAAATGTACTATGACGCGCTATTTTGCCTGACGCATAACATTGACATGAGAATTCACAGTACAATGGGCAGAGATGAACAAAATCTGGGTCTTACGCTCATTTAGTACCAAGTTCCTGTAGGCAAACTATCTGGCCAGGTGTGTCACTGCGGAAGACATAATTTTACATTCAAGTTGACGTTTGTCTCTGCTACTAATGTAGAGAATGATGTCAGCTGCACACTGAACTGTCCGCACACAATGCCGTTGCACTTCAGCTGCCAACGACAGACATAAAGGACAAACAGCAGTGGACCAAGTACGGTACCCTGGGGTACACCACTGCTGGGCTGAAATAACTTCCTGTAATGGTTCCCAATGACAACCCTTTGCTGCCGACCACTTAGGTAGTCTGTCAGCCATTTCAGCGCACTTCCACCAACGCCAATACTGAAGAGGTCACAGATGAGGGTGCCATGTTGAACCATGTCGAATGCCTTTGACATGTCAACAAAGGCAGTGCACGTTGAGAGTCCGGTGTCTTTGGCATTGGCAAAGGCCTCCGATGCCCTCACTGCCAAATCCTCAGTTGAGTGCTGTTTCCGGAGTGCAAACAGGCGGTCTGGGTAGAGGCTGTGGGTGGTCAAGAACTCAGTGAGGTGCGCATTTATGATGCACTCAAGGATCTTTGAGATAATAGGAAACAGAGAAACAGGTCTAAAATTAGTCTCCTTTCAGAAAGGGACTTGTTGAAGTTGAGAGTTACTGATGGAGCTAAGATATCAGAGCATGCTGCTCGTACAAAAGTAGGTACGCCACCACTGCCTGTTGCCTTTGTCATATCTATACTGTTGAGCAACTTGCGTACTCGTGCGATGGATACTGGCTTGAAACAGCAGAGATCATTACTTGCATGTGGCCCAAAGTGGATGGTGGACAGGGCCCTTGGGCGAGTCGCATCAGTGACAATTTGCGCAGACACTTGTCCAATTTCATCGGGGGGGGGGGGGGGGGGAGGGGGAGGGGGCATTAAGGAGCAGTTTGCTGGTGGTGCGTTCTTGCTTAGATACATGCGCAGACAAGGCAATTTACTAATGTACTTACCTTCTCTTACTTAGCCTCTTTCAAGAACACTCATACTGGATGTGTTCCAGTAATCTGGAAGTGACCTTACTTTATAGTTTATACTTTCGTTTTCTTATGTCCAGATGTCAACCCTGACTGTACTGCTGCTGCTATTAGCAGTTTGGAGCAGATCTTGTGAAGGAAATGATTGTTCTCCTTGCGAATGTGATGGACCGGAAAAGAACAGAACTCTTACAAGCTGTGTCGGCAGTTATCAAACATTGTGAGTCACATGGTTAAATCAAACTCGGATGGAGAGCCAAGGATTAAACTTGAAAAAGAGAGGACCATACGTTTACAAGACAGATAGTTATCAGTTTTGGTCCAACACTAGCAATTATAAGCAGGACAACGGGAAGTCAGAATGTACAATAATTAGCATTGACTTACCGGTATCACCTTTAACTTTCTTACCGTGTTCCATAACTTAGAACATTGGAAGTGGGAAGGCTCTTGGTTTGCGCAATCCAGACGTGATGCAGCTAAGCATCAGGTCGTTGAGTGTCAGTATCACATCAGTCAGTTTTGTGCTAATTGTTGCGAGTTCTGACTCACCAGTATCCCTCTTATAATTGTTGGCAAAGAAAAACGCAGTTTGTCAAGTGATAACCTCTCTATTCAGTTGCTATTCACAATTTGCGCATGCACTGCATTCAAAATTCTTTATTGTTATGTATAAACTCGGATACTGAGCCAGTAATAAATGTAAAAAAGAGAAGAGATGTGTTAGAGCTAGGTCTTGGGTAGAGCTAGGTCTTGGGTAGAGCTAGGTCTTGGGTTGCTGAATATCTCAGTGGCCTGGCAGTTTTGGGCCATATTTTCGCACTTTCTGACCGTTTACCATCTTGTTACAGTCGTGGATAGTTGCTGCATAACTCGTTCTCATATCTTTCTTCTATTTTTAACATTTACTGTAATGCTGAAAATTTAATGACGTTTCTGGCCAGTCATCCATCGTCAGATATGTTTCAAGGTGTGAACCCTGGAAAACACCAATGTTGTAATTAAAAGTTGGAGTGTGTGGTTGTACGACGAAAGCGCAAAGACTGTCGTAGTAGGAAAAAATTAATTTCCTGAATTGCAAAGGAAGGCTGTAGTGGGTTAGAGCATACTGTATCAGATTGTGGCGCACTGAACCAAATGCATTCTTCAAATCTATCCACGCAATGCAAATTTGGCGTTTCGCCGTCTTTGCATCACGCATCGCCTCATAACAAAGTGATGTATGCTCTAAGCACCCGGCCTTTGCAGACATAAATCCTTTCTGGCTGTCACCATCGAAGAACTTATTGCCTAGCATATGTTTCAAGAGGCGCTTTGCAACTAAGGTGAAAATGATTTTCCCGGACGTGTTTGCCAGAGTGATCGGTCGTAATTTCGAAGGATCATCAGACACCCCCCCCCCCCCCCCCCTTGGCCAGGAGTGTGATACACGCTACCTGCCACTGCCTTGGAATGATCTTGCTCTCCCAAACCCTCCCAAAGATGGTGAAAAGAATGGATTGAAGGGAGGGACAAAGCTTCTAACTATGTAAGGTATCTTGTCAGGACCCGGTGCAGAGGTGTTGCGACACTTCTTCAAAACATGCTGAGATTCAGTCCATGTAGGGGTCCCCTCATCGACTGGGTGGTTGCAATCCCCGGGCTTCCCTGCACTGGGGCAGGAATCGTACAAAGTGGCACGATCCGAGAGAGAGAGAGAGAGAGAGAGAGAGAGAGAGAGAGATAGACAGAGAAAGAGGGAGAAAGAGAGAGAGAGAGAGAGAGAGAGAGAGAGAGAGAGAGATACAGAGAAAGAGAGAAAGAGAGAGAGAGCAAAGTTCAGATGTGAACTACTAACTGTCTAGTTGATTCGACTGAACAATTTCTCTGCCAATTAATTGGAGATGCGTCTGAAGTTGCTTCCTAGCGGCAGCACGTTGTGGACGTCTGCACGAAGCAACAGTTCTCTGGAACTGGCAAAACGGCTTGGCCAGTTGTGCGTGTGTCCGACTGAAGAAATGCCGGAGCTGTGCTGCTGTCGTTAGATTCAGCAGCAGGACAGACGGGGTGGAGGAGATACAGGGGTCGCTTGAGTTCTCTCTAGTCTGCAGTGATTACGGTTGCCGAACGTATCTCCACGTCCTTGCTCCTTTGGAGATTGACTATGCAGCCAAGCCGCCATGATCCACGGGGCATGTCATCCTTTATTAGTATGACATCGTCAATGGCTGGCTGTTCTGAAGCGGTAACGCGTGCCTGTTGGAGCTTCCGAGTATGACTGTTGCGGAGATCAGCCAAGTAGTCGTCTCGCCAGTCGCAATTTGTTCGTGATCATCGGCACAAACACAGCTTGATTAACAATTTCACCAAGTGCTGTGAGACTTTGCAAGTGCACTTCTAGCGCATTGTGCAACCTACGCAAGAATGGAGTAGCATTGGAAGCAGGTGGTAAGTCCATGATTGCCGTGTAATGTGCATTAAAACCCTTTATGTACGAGCCATCTAATGTATGTAAGGGGCGATCGCAGCCAAAGAAGCAACCATGGTATGAAATCTAGACAACTTTCGTATATGCAAGTTGTGTGTTTCCTGACTATTATGTATGACTGCACCCTGGTAAGCATGGATATTGGGACAGCATGCAGTAGTATATGAAGGCCATAGGTGGAATACCAACGATACGTGCCAATTGTGCATATTTCTGACCAACCGGGGTATCACAAACAAATAGACTGAGAATTAGTTTGTGCTCATGTACTGGGAACATAGTGTTACGAATGAGTCAGCGAACGGTTGTGTGGTGTGCGGACCAGGGAGTGGGGAGAAATTCCATAACAATAGGGACAAAAACAACCTCATAAGCGTTGTCTCAGTGCATGAAGAGCAACAACATACCAGGGATATGGTCATATTGTCACATTTGAGGTGCAACAATTGGTTCAAAATTGCAAATTTTGAATTCTTGTGTCAGATTCGAAATCTATATTTTTCTTCATCTACTCACATCCAGCGTAAGGTAAGTGAAAGAGAAGACAAGGCGCAGTCGCTGGCTGGTGAATTACGCCTGCCTTGACGATTGTAGGCCATCGCTGCACTCCCTCTCGCTCCTGTTTTGAGAGCGAATACTGCGATGGTATCAGCGATACAAATTTTCAATTTCGAGTCGCAGTCCACGATGATATCGCCACAGCCGATCTCTCCAATCGTCCACCACATCTAGAAGACGTCTACATGACCTGGAACAAGCTACATCTTTGCTACAAGCAGAGAAACTGAGCGAGAACACGATCGAAACAGCGACAATTGTTTGCGCTGAAAAGCATACTTTTGAACGCGTTCGGTCTTCATACTTTCAAATGGCAACCTACCCATGTCGTACATCAACATTTTCAGTGGGATCTCAGCTGTCCAGCGCAAAAAAAAACCCGGGTCGATCGGAGCTACGGCGGCGGGGACCGGCGCGCTTGATTGGAGTGCAGCAAACCGTACCATATGGTACAGTTCGAGATGGGGCTGGTACACAAAGGGTTAACACGAGAATGATCATTTCCGAAACGGTTTTGGAGAATGTCAAGCGCGGTTTGGTAGTTGGTAGCTGATATGGGCAAGCCAGGTCTGGCATGTCTCTGTATGAGAATTGCCAATTGGCATCTGACAGAGATGTCTGGCAGTCACACTGTGCATCTACTGCTTACACAGCTGCATACTGCCTTTTATGATTTTTATTTTTTTACTTTACTTGAACAAACGGCGAGGAGACAACAATTTGATAACTGCAATCAGTAATACAAGCTGGATCGACATTTGTGTACACTGTATTCATGTATTGTAAAACTGTGGAGACAATGTGCAATAAAACGATGGAAATGTGAAGAAATTGTGTAGAGAAAGGAAGGTATTCAAACCAGTTTTCGTACAACACTCATCAGGAATGTTCGTTGTACTAAAGGACACTGAAAACAAAATTGAACTATTATAGAAAATCTAAGTTAGAGAAATAACACTAAGAACAACAGCAGTGAAATTTACAAGTGTGAATTTTAACAATGAAAGCGAGAGCAATAACGAATGTGTGTACTAACACTAAACTTGCAACTGAAAAGTGAACAAAGAAGAGAAAGAAAGAAGGAAGGACAAAGTGATAACAAATAACAGCAGTACATTACACTGTTGTTCTTAGTGTTATTTCTCTAACTTAGATTTTCTATAATAGTTCAATTTTGTTTTCAGTGTCCTTTAGTACAACGAAGATTCCTGATGAGTGTTGTACGAAAACTTGTTTGAATACCTTCCTTTCTCTACACAATTTCTTCACATTTTTCATCGTTTTATTGCACATTGTCTTCACAGTTTTACAATACATGAATACAGTGTACACAAATGTCGATCCAGCTTGTATTACTTTACTATTATTATTTTTTTCGGTAACACAGATGATGATGATGATGATGATGATGATGATGACGATGATGATGATGATGATGCTCGGGGCTTTTGGTCGTGGCAACAAGACGCTTTTTTTGATGTGCAGATTACCCATCCCGCAGCGTCCGTGTTGTCTCGATCAAAAGCCTTGAGTCAGCTGAAGTCCCATGAACGGGCAAAAAAGAATCAATATGCCAGCCGCGTTGTGAATGTCGAGCGAGGATCGTTCACCCCACTGGTGTTCTCGACTTATGGTTTCAGCTGGCCTGAGACAACTCAATTCCTAAAGTCTCTTGCCTCTCTCTTTGTAGAGAGAAGCCAGGATCTCAAATATCCTGTTGTCATGGGTATGTTGCGTACCCGCCTGTCGTTTTGCCTCTTGAGGTGGGCCATTACGTGCTTTCGTGGTTGCCGAGGGTCTTATAACAGACGGCGGGTGAATTCCTTTGTGGCCCAGTGTCGTTTGGCCGCATAGTGAATTTTTATGCTATGCCTCTCAACAATATCACTATGGATAACATCACATTTTTAAATAACTATTTGGTAAAGTAACATCATCTGTCATTCAATATCTATCTGGTAAAATAATCAGCATTTGAATATCTATTTGGTACTAATCATTCAACTGTTAAATGTCATATTTTTACCTGAATATCTATCACGATTTTTGCACATAATCTCGGTTATCACCGTTTCAAGCCCGTACAAGAGGCCGTTTCCAATCACGATGATGATGATGATGATGATGATGACTTGCTGTAATGTGTCTGCAGCTGCCAGAGTGCTACGCAGCCAACCACCGTCTATCGCCAGTGCTGGTGTGGACCCAGCTCTCTCTTGTGGTGTGGATGGTGCAAGTCTACAGTCGCGGCCTCCGGTTATTCATTCTGTCTCTCGGGATTTGGCACCTCCTCTCACCGTGGCAAGTGCTTTTGATGCCTCTGTTATTAGCAGCCAGGAAGGTGATGGCGGCTCTAGTGAGAATGACGAGGAGGGTGATGAGTGCTCCCCACACCTTGCCACGGTCAATCGGAGTGCCACTCCTGATCGTCCTCACGGAATAGATGTGACATCACCACCTCCTACCAATACCTCTGCCGTCGGGGCAGAGCATGAATCTCCTGGAGGTGATACATTGTTCTTGGCTGGTCTTGCTGACAGTCAACGCCCAGTGAATGCAACATCGTGCTTGGAGGATGCAAGTGCAAGGGACCATTTCGTGCAGTCGGTGAAGGCAGCATATGAGGTAGTGGTCCCGTGGAGGCGCAACCTATTCATTGTTCCTCATGGCTCGGCCGGCATTCTATTTGTTGGGGAATTGTCTCGGCTCATTAATTGTTTTGCTGATGGCTCAGATATACGGTGTGCACGGCTGTTCCGAGTGCGACATTAATCAATATGGCGGCGTACTGTAGCAACCCGCATCGCAACAGCTCGCGTACGCACAGCGTGCCGACGCGTGCAGTCTT